GTTGTCTCTCATTTTATACTAAGATTGGAAGCAATTTGGGGCAGGGACTGGGTTTTTTGTTGTTGTTGTTCGGAGCTTGTACAGCACCGAGCATGATGGGGTACCTAGCATGATTGGGACTGGGAATGCCTAGGCCCTATGATAATACAAATAATAAATCAGTAACAACTCACTGAATGTTCAGAGTGAAGTTATTTCTCCTTATGGACCCAAGCCTCATTTGATGCACAGGATGGAGGCAGAAGGAAGAAGATGCTGCTCTCTTATGTTAAGGGAATTGGAATGAGATCCAGGAGACCTGGGTTCTTGGCCCTGCCACAACTTCTTTTGTGATATAGGGAAAGAAAGCATGCAAGCAAGGGTTTGAGCCAAGGCTGCATTGGCCAATTTAATTCTGGCATTTCCTAATTACTCAGTACTTGACTTTATAAGTGGATTGTTCTGTTAATGTAGTTTTTTATATGATATATATGGTTAGGTTGGACGTTTTCCTTAATAAGAGGACTTATCACACCACTGGTTTTTGGACTAACTACCATCATGCCGCTTTGTGTAGATGAGTGCATGTGAGTCAGGAAAGAGAGCAATTCAGTATATTCTCAGGTTAGGAAGAGGAAGCAAACAAAAGAATTGGGGCTGCATTCAACAACTGAAACATGGCTCTATGTATCTGGAACACATGTACATCTGCCCCAGATATAAGGCTTGTCATCGTTGATACCCTACCTAAGAAGCACAGATTTGGAAAGCACTTTTCACAAGCAGACCACTGAGGCAGATAGAGAAAAAAATCAGCAGCCCCTTTCATGCACAGTAATTTGCTAGCTTTTAAGGAATCAGCAAGTGATCTCCTTGACAAGAATATATAGTCTTAAGCCTAAGTGACTTTCTGTATACAAGCATTTGAGAACAGGAGTTGAAAACCTCCCTGAGGCATATAGATAGTCATTAGTTTTCCTTAGATAAAAATTCCACCCTATGTCTCAAAACACTGAAGAAAACAAATACTATTTACCACTTTTAACTTATCAGTGTTTACCTATAGATTCTGTGACCCATTTTTATTTCCTCATTTCATACAGCACTGTTGCTTAGGGTATGTCTACACTGGCAGAGTTACATTGCTGGCAGTTACAGCGCCGCTCAGAGAGCTGAAGGGAAACAAACTACTGTTGTGTATTCACCCTGTCAGCTGCCTGCGCAATAGTGTGTTCACACTTGCAGCAGTATTCAGAGCGCTGCACTCTGGGGAGCTAACCCACAGAGCATATCTTCCTTTTCTGCCACTAAGAGTTGTGGGCAGACGGAGGGGGTTGTGGGGCATCCTGGGTCCTGTACCAAAGCCCCGTGATGCATTGCTTTGCATACCAGCAATCCCTGTGCTTCTGTCCGCATTTGGCGTCATCTTTTAACAGTTTGTGTGCTGCGCACTCTACCTCTTTGGGCTGCAGGAATGGATCCAGAACTGTTGACCAGAATGCTGTTCGCTCTGACCAACACATCACGAGTGGTAGTGGAGTTATTCCTTAAATTAGAAAGGCAAGAGGAGTGCAACATTGATCTCACCACACATACTTGCTACATGAGATTGCTTGTGGCATTCACAGAGGTGCTGGCCAAAGTGGAATGCTGCTTTTGGGCTCAGGAAACAAGCACTGAGTGGTGGGATCACATCATGATGCGCATCTGGGATGACAAGCAGTGGCTGCAGAACTTTCAAATGAGGAAAGCCGCATTCATGGGACTGTGTGATGCGCTTACCCCAGCCCTGTGGCGCAAGGACACGAGAATGAGAGCTGCCCTGCCATTGGAGAAGCGCATAGAGATTGCACTGTGGAAGCTGGCTACTCCAGACTGCTACCAATCGGTCGCTAACCAGTTCGGAGTGGGAAAGTCGACCGTTGAATTAATGTTGATGGAAGTGTGCAGGGCCATCCTGTTCCGAAAGACAGACTCTGGGCAACGTGCGTAACATTGCAGATGGCTTTGCACAAATGGGCTTCCCTAACTGTGGAGGGCCGATAGATGGCACGCATATTCCAATTCTGGAACCAGACAGAAGTACATTAATTGCAAGGGGGGTTTCTCAATGGTTCTCCAGGCGCTCGTGGATCACCGTGGGTGTTTCACAGACATTAACGCAGGCTGGTCCGGAAAAGTGCATGGACTGTTCAGGAAGCTGCAAGCAGGGACTTTTCCCCTATGGTGATCTTCCGGTCTGGGAAGAGTCAAAATGCCCACTGTGATCCTGGGAGACCCCACCTACTCCTTAATGCCCTGGCTTATGAAGCCATACACGGGGCAACTTGACAGCACCAAGGAGCAGTTCAACAACAGGCTGAGCAAGTGCAGAATGACTGTGGAGTGTGCTTTTGGCCATTTAAAGGCCTGCTGGTGCTGCCTCTATGGGAAGCTGGACATGGCCGATGACAATATTCCTATGGTTATAGCTGTGTGCTGTACACTCCATAATATTTGTGAAGGGAAGGGTGAAAGCTTCACTCAGGACTGGACCACAGAGGATCAGTGCCTAGAGGTTGAGTTTGAACAGACAGAGACCAGGGCTATTAGAGGGGCGCAGTGCGAGGCCATAAGGATCAGGGAAGCCATGAGGCAGCAATTTGAAGCTGAAAGCCACTAATATTTGTTGCTATACTCGGGAGTGTTGTGCTTGTAATGCTAGGAGGTGATTGTGATTGGTGCAGACAATGAAATATGAAGGTTTAACATAATTGTCTGTTGCTTTGCAGAGCTCTGTTTGCTTTCAATTAATAGAGTAAAGATTGCTTTTAAATCAACACAATTGTTTTATTAAAAAACAACAACCGGTGCAGAGAGTGAAACAAACAAACAAACCAACCAACCATTAGCAGTGAGGGGGATGGGGAAGGGAATGTCCCAGGAGAAGGTGGGGTCTCAGGACAGCTAAAGATTTGTGTATGTCCCGGGATCATATCCAACCTTCTCCTTTGGAGTACAATGCAGTGGGTACTGTACTTCAGCAGGCCCAAACTGCAGAGGGACGGGTGTTGAGTGCAGTGGGTAATGGGAGTCCGCAGTGCTGGTCTGTGAGGGGGGAGGAGTGGAATGCCGTGGGTATAGACTGGAGCCAGGAGGTTGATAAGAATGTGTTGGCAGTGTCTGGGAGGCACATGGGAAAGAATTTTGTGACAGCGGCTGCAGGGGAGGGCAGGCGCAGAGCTGCTCAGTTTGCAGAGCTAGTATCGCCTGGAACGTGTCTGCTTGGCACTCCATAACGTTTAAGAGCCGCTCCATGGCTTCATTCTGGTGTGCACGTTCTCCTTTCAGTCCCTCTTCTCACTGTCGCGCCACTCCTTTAATTCCTGTTTCTCAACCGCAGAGTGCATCGCAACATCACGCAGAAAGTCCTCCTTAGTTCTTCTTTGCCGCTTTCTAATTCCGAGCAGCTGTTCAGCCGCTGATAACAAAAAGGGAGGCTGGGCTCCCAAGGTCATCTCTGTAAAGTTTAAATACAACATTTTACAGAAGCAGTATTGTTTGCAACACAGAGAACATTGATTCAGTGATTTAAAACACAGCCAGTACGCACACACCTGTCACTAACTGGCTAACCCCAGGAAAGCACACATGAGCCACAAGAACCCCAAGATGGTGAGCAGCCATAGTGGTAGGGTAAACCACTCTTCCCGGACCCTGTTGTATGCTGGGCATGTGGCTCTTGGAGAGAGTCAGCACTGTAGGGGGGGGCTGATAATCATTCCTGTCCCCACACTTTCCACAGAATGTGATCATTATGGAAGATCTCTCACTGCTGAGGGGGAGTAGGAAATCAAGGGATGGTCTTCTCCAAAACTGCGGCTTCCGCCCTGACCCCTATGCGGCTCGCCTGTGTGCAGCAATGGTCCCCGTCCCCCCCACCGTGATGGGACAGTGGTGCAGGAAAGTTACTGTTAATGGAGCAAGAAACAAAGCAGCTCTGCCAAAGAACCTGCGGCAGCGGATTACCCAGTATCCCCATGAGAGTTTCCTGGAGATCTGAGGCAGATTCCCGTGAAGTGAGGGAGTCAATCAACAGCCTGTTCCACCACTCAGACTAGGCATGTAGGGGGAGACAAGCCTGCTTTCTACAACCCTTCTACCCCCAACAACTCGCTTCAGCGATTCCCAAAATCAAATCCACTTACCAGGGGCCTCCTCTTCTGTTTGCACTTCGCCAACATCTGACAGCTGTGACTGGCTAGCCTCCTCCAGGGCAGAAAAGAGCTCCTGGCTACATGCATCTCTGACTTCCGAGTCATCCTCTGCCTCTAGGTCCCCCTCTCCACATCCAAGATTTCCTCCTCCTGGCTCAGTCCACTCTCGACTGGCACGCGAGCCACCAAAGTATCCACAGTGGTCTTCGCAGTGGAGATGGGGTCGCCGCCGAGTATCGTGTCCGGGTCTTTGTAGAACCGGCAGCTCGTGGGCGCAGTACCGAAGCATCAGTTTGCCTCCCACGCCTTGTGGTAGGCGTTCCTAAGCTCCTTCACTTTGACCCTGCACTGCAATGTATCCTGATCATGGCCCCTTTCTGTCATGCATCGTGAAATCTGTCTGTAGGTATCATAATTCCTACAGCTGGAGCACAGCTGGGACTGGACAGCCTCCACTCCCCAAGTGCTGATGAGGTCCAGCAGTTCAGCATTGCTCCAAGCGGGGGATCGCCTGGTGCATGGCAAACAGGAAGGGGACTTTCAAAGTTCCAAAGGAATGTACAGGATGGGGATGACGGCTGTCACCTGAAGGCAGGGCAGTTGAGTTCAAACCTATGACCTGAGAGGTGAGAACAGGCATTGTGGGACACCTCCCAGAGGCCAATCGTAGCACTGTAATTGACCAGGGTGTCTACACTGGCACTGCGGCGCTGTACCCCCGGTGCAGAAAGCTGTAGGTCTCTCGGAGTGGATTTTTTACAGCGCTGCAACTGTACAGTTTCTGTGCACTAAGTGGCTTGGCAGTGTGTACACCTCGGGAGTTACAGCGCAGAAAGCTGCTTTACTGCGCACAAACTTGCCAGTGTAGACAGGGCCTTAGTGACAGCTCAGGGAACTCCAGTGGCTTTTCTGCATTCAGACTTTAAGAAGTTAATATTGGACTATAATTGCAAGCACTTTCCTTTCATTATCAGCTGGCATTTCCACTTACAAGAAAGTCTGCTACTGAAAAGGACAACTGTGGCCCCACAGGAGCCAACTGTTAACTGAGAGGGGAATTTTTTTTTATTTTATTTTTTTAAAGTGTGTTCCTATTTTGGAAGTGACTTTAAAAATGTCTCTGTGGGTGTTTATTGCAGCTCCATGACACCTATATCAAAGGTGCTCCATTTTGCAAACAGATACATGCTTGAGGTTCTAATTACCAATCCTGTACATTCAACTTGGCACCTGATAATCAAGGTGGGTTCTTTTTTGTGCATCACTAGTAAGAAAGATTCTGAAGCTAAAATTCTGCTCTCAGCAGTTTTAAATTATGCCCTCAGTAACACCTGTGCAGCTAGGTATCTAGGTTTCCACAGGTGTAACTAATTGCTCCTGTAATTAGAATTACTAAGCAACTCTGTTGAGGATTTATGCAACTAAATCAAATCCAGCTAATGCTTCTTAGCTGTGTTGGCTCTGAAGGGATAACAGGAGTGAAAACCATTTTTAAAATATGTAGTCACATAAGTAAGCAGATATGTCCCTAAGGGGGTACAGAAGGTACCATTTTTATGTAGTCACTTTACAAACTAGGCTTGCACTTTGAAGCATTACGGCTGTTTCACATGTGAACAAAATACCACTAGCTCTGCCTTTACAGACAGGAACTGATTGTGAGATTTGCGATTTCTGAGTAAAGTTAAGCCTCACTCATGATCTCACCATAGAGCTCTCAAATGTCAGGATTTTTGTTATCAGCCAGGGCACAAAGGTGTGTCCAGTCAACCAGGAATTACCTGGTAAACAGTAAACAAAGCAATGTGGTTTCTCCACCAGGCAGTTAATGGCAAAAGCACTTTGGAAGATTTTGGAATGAGAATTCATTTACACATCAGATAAACAAAGCTATCAAGCTAATAAGGGGGCGGGAGAGGCAGCATGGCTACACCCCAGCAGGGAATCATAGAATATCAGGGTTGGAAGGGACCTCAGGAGGTCATCTAGTCCAACTCCCTGCTCAAAGCAGGACCAATTCCCAACTAAATCATCCCAGCCAGGGCTTTGTCAAGCCTGACCTTAAAAACCTCTAAGGAAGGAGATTCCACCACCTCCCTAGGTAACCCATTCCAGTGCTTAAGAGAAACTTAATCTGAGATATAAAGAAGGAGGGGGTGCAACACTCAAACAAGTAATTGAATCAACTGGGGGGGAAAATCCTGTCATTTGAGAGTTCTCAAAGTGGGGCTTAATTTTACTTAGAAATCCTCTCAGCTGCCCCAGGTGCGGCCAGGGCTCCAACTGTCAGTCCCGTGTGGCTGCTCCCCTGCCAGCCTGGGAAGTGGGAGGGGAACCCTGCTGCAACTTGCCTTCCGGGCCTGGGGAGGGTGAAGAACCCTAAGGAGCAGAGGTGAGGCTAGGGGCTGCAGGGGCGCTGAAGTGAGGAGGGTGAGGGCTGATGGAGTGGGAGGCTGTATTGATGGTGACTTCCGAGCAGATGGGGTGAATGCTGGGAGGGTGAGCTGAGGGCAGTGGGGGTCGACGGGGTGGCGGAGCTGCACTGATAGGGTGGTGATGATGGAGACTGGGGGACTGAACTGGGGGGGGGGGCTAAATTGAGCGGGTTTGATGGGGAGAGAAGTGATAGGGAACTGGGGGACAGGATTAATTGTTGGGCAGGAGATTGGCAGATGTGGGGGTGAGAGCTCCTGCAGCAGGGGCCAAAATCATGTTATCCAGTATGTGGGAGAGAGGGCAACACTAATTGTCACATGCACACACCCTAGTGATGGGCGGGGGGGTTCAAAAATCAAGAGACTGACCTAAAACAAACAAACAAACATACATTTTTTTTAAAGGTCATGATTTTTGGGAATCCGACCCATGATTTTTCATCTCTTGAAGTCGGCAATAGTGCTTTATAACTTGCTCCAAACCCAAATACTTAAATTTGTAGAATATATTTAAAACTTCCTTGGCTCATTTTAATATGCACTGTTAAAATAAGAACTTTTGCTTGAGTTCTAGGTTATCATCTCTGTTGGTCAGAGTTACTCTTCCATCCCACAGATTGTCTGGTAGTACTCTAGGTAGGTTTAAAACTGCTTCATCTTGGCCTTCAATAAAATCTGCACCTATTGAAGACAGTATGAGATTTTAAGAAAAAACTTTGACTTTACATTTCAGGGTTTCTTAGCAAGCAAGGTAGAAGACATGACAAAATCCACTTAAGTTTCCAGATACTGCTAACAGAAATAAGGCGAGACATCTTCTACTGGGGTCAAGACTACTCAGGAATGGGACTCTGAATTCTTCTGGATGAGGTCTATAGTTAGCAATAGCACAGCTCTGGTAGATTCAACAAGCAGATTTGAGCTGTCCTTTTTATTGTTCCCTGAGCAATGGGAACACTCAGATCAGCTTTGATCAAAGGAGTCACAATTCAACGAACAGCAACTGCAGAAAAACAAAATCAGCAGCCTGTATAATATGAACTACACACCGCACCACAGATTCTTGTGCCTTTGAAAGCAAAAAGTGCTTTGAGAATATGTTCATTTGCCTTTGGGCAACATGTTTTTCTCAGTAATGGAGGGTGAACTTCCAATTGTTCACCAGTGGCTGTTTTGAAAGAGAAAGGGGGGGAGGGGAGGGAAATCTGTGATGTTTCCAGTTGTTGGTTGTCCAGAGGCCAATCTCATGAGTAATGGGTGAAGCATCTGAGTCTATGTAGGGTTACCATACGTCCGGATTTTCCCGGACATGTCCGGCTTTTGGGGATTCAAATCCCCGTCCGGGGGGAAATCCCCAAAAGCCAG